GTTCAGGGTAGTGCTCGTTCTCTTAGGGAAAGATCTAGGTAGAGTTTTGAAACTCTCTAAGTATTTGAGGTTGTGTCAATATATAAGGCTTCTAAATGAAGCGTTGTGTCTGAATTAGCTGATCAATTAAATAAAATAATTAGTCTTCCTTTTTTAGGTATCTAGGTGACAACGTGGATAGAGTGCTGGTCCTGGAGTTAGGCAGACCTGAGTTCAAATGTGATCTAGATGCTTCCTAGCTGTGTGACCCCAGGCAAGTTATTTAACCTCTGTGTGCCTCAGTTTCCTCATCTGTAAAACAGTGATAATAATATTAGCACCTACGTTCAGGGTTGTTGTGAGGATCAAAGGAGATAATAATTGTAAGGCACTTAGCGCAGTGCCTAGCACACAGTAAGCACTGTATAAATGTTAACTGTCATCATCATCATCATCATCATCATCATTTGACTGAAATAATGGGGGGGGACATACTATAGGTAGCTTCAGCCCCTAAATTTCTGAATAATTCAGAAGTAGAAGCACTTGATTCCTCAGAAACTAGTCACTAGACACATCTTTTTCTAAACTGTCACCTGGACATGGGTAGATTCAGGATGCTTTTTTATTATTTGCAGTAAAAAACAAACAAAAAAAAAACAGGATAACTTTAAATATCATTCACAGGAGTATTTCTAGAGTGGACAATTTTATTTACATTTATTGAGAATATCCTGAGAAAAATATAGTCTCATTTTCTTGGAACTTCTGGCAACTGCAATGCTATTTACCAAAAAAAAAAAAGAGTGAAATGATGAAAACATGTAAATGACTATCATTCAAGTGAATAAATTAACAAGCCAGGTGGAAACTATCTTTCTGGTTCCAATTTCATCCTATCTTCTTAACTGTTCACAGAGTAATAGCACACCTTGACATTTACAGAAGAGATATAAGATAGGTCTTTGCTTGAAATCTGATTCTTGGCCCTTCATTATGCAAAATTAAGCTGCTGAATAGATGTCTTTGAAATTAAATATGAGCATATATAAGCCCTGATTACCAAACAAATATTTAGGAATATATTTACTGTTCTGCTGTACACTTTTCAGTTTAAATTGAAAGAATATTTTGGGAACATTCCTAGATTAAAATTTTGTATTTTTTTAGGAAATTGAAGTACAATACTAGATAATATTTGGATTATTTTAAATATTCATATATAATCATCCTGATAAAACAAAACAAAACAAAACACTACTATTAGAGTCAAGTCCATTTTGAGCTAGTAAGCGATTAAATAAAAAACTATCCCATCAACTTGTAAGACAAGATTATAATTAAATACTATTGTCTAAATTTAAAGTCAGTGGTTAAGTATTATTTTGTAATGAGATAATTTCCGAGTCTTAATATCTAAAAAGTGAGAAATGTATCATTCCATTGCTGAAAATTGTCACTCTTTGGTGGTTCAGTAGTCATCTGTAAAATAGATGAAAGAAAAATTCATCATGAAAATGCAGGAAAGAATTCTTCACAGATATAATATGTTTAGCCTCTCTGTGGATTATCATGAATAGTTTTCATTGTTAGCTTTTTTTGTCCTGAGCAGACTATTTCAATATATTTTATTTTGTACACTTAATTATTTCCATTGGAGATGTTTAAAAATTCCACTGAATCACAAAAAAAGAGAGAAATCTCAGGTATAGAAAAAAAATAAGTTTTCACTAGTTCAAGTTTAGAGTACATTCACGAATTCTTTTTTTTCTTAAACAGAAAATGAATGGCTATAAAGCTATCTTTTGCTCAAAAGTTAAGGTGTTGATAATGAAAGTGACACTCTTAAGGTTCTAGAAATAAAAACAAAAACAAAAAATAAAATAAAATAAAGGCAAATAGTTCCTGCCTGCAAGAGGATCACTTTCTTTTGAAGAATACACTTTATACCTGGATAAGAATAATAAATGATCACACCTGAAGTTAACCTTGAAGGAAAACAAGGAGTCTGAGAGGGGGATAGAATGAAAGTTTATTCTGGCCATTGGAGAGTGCTTATGCAAAGGCAGAGAGGCACAATATAGAATGTCAACTTCAGAGAACACCTAGTAGCACAGTTTGGTTGGAAGGTGAAATACATGAAGGGAAAGAAGATGAAATAAGGCCAGAGAGGTGGGCTGGAGTTCAATTGTGATGGGTTTTAAATGCCTAAGGAGTTTGTATTTTCATGCTAAAAGCAAAGGATAACTTTTAAAAGTAAACAGGGAAATGACATGAGATCTGTACCTTAGAAATGAAATCTACATATTTAGTGCAGGAGATTTTAGAATTTGTCAAAAATTAACATCACACCTTTCGTTGAATATTTTGGAAGTATTGTCGTTTGTACAAAAACTACCTTTCTTGATAACAGTAAATTTTTTAAAACTGCAGATTAATAGGTATTTTTATCTGTACTTGATAATGTATCAGCATTTGTACTTTCATACTTTCAGCAGTAACACAATCAGACCCTAATTCTGCTCCCATTCTCACCAGATTAAGAAATCCCATATGTGTCCCTATAGCCAAATACCCTATAAAACAAAACCCCTTAAAAACTTAACTGAAAGCTAACAAAAGGTAGAAATAGAGCTTGTTAAATTTTAGTTAAGAACATTGCATGTTATTCTCTTAGTCCATGAGTATTTGAGGACAAGTTAATTATATGGGAATTACAGATTAGTTATAGGAAAAATGTCCATAGATTGTGTTTTATTTGTTTTTTATCTATGTAATTAATAAAATTTGATCTATGTAATTAATAAATGTTAACGTGAATTTAAATCCCCAAGTCATAGAATATTTGTGAAGAATTTTTCAGGTCTCTAGCAGTAGAGGACTTTAAGAATTTTAGTTAGATTCTACCAATTTAACTTCTTCCCCATTGGAATGTTAGCTCATTGAGGGCAAGAGCTATTTTTTTTACATGTTTTTGTATCACCTTAGTATCATTAGCCCTTAACCCTGGTACATAGTATGTGCTTAATAAATATTTATTGAGTGATTGATTGTATCTTTGATGACTTTCCCTTTAGAACATCAGCAATATCCAATGATACCCTACAAGACAGAGGAATGTGATCGCTCCTTCACATATATTAGAAATAGAAGATCTGTAATCTTAATTTCTAATTAATGGTTCTTTGTAGATGTCACCCTGACTGACAGAAAAATGAATATAAAAACCACAATCTTATCCCAGATAACTGTGATGGTGAATAACTTGCTTCTCTCACAGATCCTTTAAAACTGAACCCAGTAAGATTGTTTTGAACCCACAACAATTATTTTTTTGTGTCAATGTTGTTCAAGGATAAGATCTTTAATAGGAGCCCTTTGAAGGGTAGGTTTCAGAGTTGCTTTTTAATGGTCCCTTTTAGGTCAAGTGTTGGCTCAAGAGGCTAAAGAATTTTGGATGAAATACCTAGATAAGAATAATAAAAGGCCAAAGAATTTTTAAAGGGAAATACATGAAAGTTCGAGCCAACAGCAGTGTGGTATTGGGAAAAGAAGGTATGAGCTTCAATGTTGCCAATGAAGACTTGAGGCAAAGTCTCTTTCTAATTTAAGGAGCCAGGTATCCTGAAGACATATTTTGAGAGATTTGTCTTTTGAGCATTTTCATGTCTCCTTTGTTGCTAGCCTTACAAAAAAGGAAGAGAAAAAAATCAGGCTTATCCATCAAGTCAATCTTTCTGATAGAAGTGTGTTTTATGGTTTAGGAAGTGGTTGGTAGAGAAATTAGGGATGGAGGAAGATAAAGAGAAAAGTGTAGAAGAATATAAGAAGTAAAAATTATCTAGCTATTTTCACTCTCCTACTACCCAACTTCACTTCAATGTGGACCAAATTCCCCTATCCAATAAATACTGCTATATACATCTCTTGGAATTATTTACCATACTCCATAAGTTGCATCTTTGATGTTTGGACCAGTGCTGGAATGAGTATGAGACAAGGGATCTACTCACCAGGAGAACTGAAAGGTGTTCTGACGGTGGTTTAGTGCAAGAATGATAGAGGAATCTGGATGCTCTAACCATTTCAGAAAATCCCAGGAGCCATTACCCAACTTGGAATTTGGGGAATCAGTTAAGGAAACTTGATCTGTTCCCAAGTGACCATGCTATCCAGAGAATTCATTGTAATTTTCCATAATGTTTTAACACCCTTCATGACACAAAAAGAATATTCTAAAAACTACTAGGAAACTTTCTTATTATTTTTTAGGCCTACCGACGTTAATGATAACCTGTATTTTTTACACTTGCCAAAGGTGAGAGAAAAGAATGGTGGTAGTTGTTTGGCTGGAAAACTTCTGAGAGCCTTGGCAGATTCACCTGGCCTACTTTGCTGAGGTAGTCCATCTCTAGCCCTAATTGAAAGTACAGTAACAGTACACCCCAGTTCAGCTTCACAGGTTAAATAACAACACGAGCTGTTGAGGGGTATTAAGCAGTAGCTTGGAAAGTAGTGAATGGCCAAGAAAGGGAAGTAGAGGGCATTAATCCCTTGCCCACTGAACTAACATGACAAGATCTAAATTCTCTGGTCTGAAGTGGTCCCACCCTTTTCTCTATCCATTTGGGTGGTCTTCAGATTATCCTTTTACCTTACATTTTCATTACTGTGTCATAACATTAGTCAATAGGAAACACATATATCAGAGTAGTTTTCTGCCGGTCATAATACCTTGTTATCCACGTATAACACTTATTTAAGATAATTTATGAGTGAATCAAATGATAATAGTCACTTATAATTATTTTTGTTTCCTTGTTAGCTCACATGCCAGACATTTCCTAAGGCTACATCACAGCTTCATTGCTTGATAGGCAAAGAAACCTTGCTGGGAATTGCCAAAGAATAACCCTGGAAGTCTAAGTTGTAGTCATTTCTGTAACTTACTGGGAAAGAACACACCCACACAGCAGCAGATGAGAAAACTTTTTTTTTATTGGATGATTTTTTAAGGGCATTGTCTGCTGAGGTTCCTTACAGGACACATCAGAACTATACGTGCTATCAAAAAAAGAGTCATTAGTCTTATTACCTCACTAAAGCAATGAGCAAATTACAGATGCTTGCCAGGAAAAAAAAATAAGGGATAGAATGTGGAATTTCCCATTCATAAGGTTATGGAGGCCTTCCTGCAGTTTGGTCCCTTTCTTTTTTTTTTTCTGTCTCCATAGACTTGGGTCTTTAAGAATGCACCATTTCCTGGAATTCTAGAATAGAAGAAGTAAGAGCACTGTCAGTAAAGATGATACTTTAAAAGAATATCACAGTTAATAAAGAGTTCTGAAGAGGGAAGGAAATAATCAGAACAAATTGTCAGATGAGGTAAGGGATAGGCCAAGAGAAAGCATAAAAAAGAAGAAATGCAAAAGTCAATGATTGAAGATAAAAGTATTGTACTGATTTTTTTTTAAACCGATCAACTGGGTAAGGCAAGACCTGTATGATTTAAAAAGTATTAAGCTTTGCAATGATTAGCTATTATATTCCTATTTTGAAACTTGTTAGCCCAACTGTCCTTCTGATGACTTCACTGGAAAATAAAACAATATGGAAATTTCCTGTTGCTATTTGTGGGCAGTTAATTTTTAGTTTTCTTAAAAGTGTTCTTGTTCTTTCTGTAGCTGAGGAGTATGTTCCGATTCTCAGCTTCAAGAGATTGTTCTTTTGAGGAAATGTTTACCTAAGATGGGACTTTCACTCTGTACTAATCCTCTCATTTTATGAGAATAGTATTAAATGCTAAAAGCTTAAAGTGAATTTCATCCTGTATCACTCAGAAGTCTATAAGAAATGGATGCTAAAGATTAAGAATGGAAACTAGGAATTAAGTTTGTTTTTAATAACAAGCTTTGCTTCTTTTGAAGTTTAGTATGTGGATGTTTAATGAAATTAGTTCTCCCAGTACCTAAATTATTCTTTTTAGACATTTTTGGAAGCCACAGCCACTGTTCATGGCTACTGTGGCAGCATTTAGCAAGTTGTTAGTTATTAAATCGCAATTTAAAATAGTTTCTTTCTAAAGATTTGCAACAATTTTATATTTAAAGTTAGCATAACAGAAAGAGCCTACAAATGTTTTTGAGTTGGTAAGTCTTACTTATATTCAACTTGTTTTAAGCATATATGTATACATGTATATATATAATAATTATATATTCCATATATAATTATATATAATTATATATTCCATATATAATTATATATAATTATATATTCCATATATAATTATATACTTTCACTTAGTCCCATTAATATTTAAGTTATACAATAAAGTCAAATGGAAATATAAACATCTACATAATTCTTTCAAAATTTAAATGCAATGGTTTATATACAATAGATATTCAATAAGTGTTGGCTAATTGACCAGCTTTCGGCTACTTCTTGGTACACTAATTTTTAGTAAAAATTATTTAAGAAATGTTAAGGACTTACTTAAAACTGATATTTCTTTGCCTTCAATTCAATAGTATCCTTTGAATGGGCCATAATGTAATACATTCAGTCCTGCCACTGCTCACCTGTAATTAATTCCTATAAATGAAATTCCTTGCACTTTCTTGCCCCAGTGCATTACAGTGCCCAACAAATAGTAGGTCTAAGACATCCTAATAAATTTGGTTTTATTTTCCATGCAAATTGTTTCATACCATCAGCCCCAATTTTGCCATCTCCATCGTTATCAGCTGCCTCCAACAGGGACTTGGTTTCTGAACTGGTCAGGACTCTAGCTCCACTTTCAAATTTCTGGAGGAAAAACCTAGAGGGATAACAAACATTGATGGCATGTTTCTAGTAGACCATTTTCCTCAATCCATTATTTTTTTTTCTGGTTCTATGAATAAATCTGCTTCCCAGTGTAATAACTAAGCCTTTTGGAGGCAAAGATTTTATGTTTTATGAATGGGGGCTTTAAAAATAAGTAAGAATTCTTCAGATTTCTATTACAAAGAATCTTGAAATTGTACAAAGGGTTCTAGAGGTACTAGTTCTAATGCAACTTTCTGCCCCTAGCAGGAATATTCTCTACATTATCCCTGATAGGTTGTTATCAACTACTGTTGTAATGTTCATTAGCAAAAGAATAGTCCAGATAATGAACAATTTTCTGCAAAGATTATCAGGTAACATTTATTTAATGCTTTCTATGATATATAGTAGATGCTTAATGAATGTAAACTAACTGATTGTCTTTGTACTTTTATGAAAATACAGCCGAATGACTACTGTCAAAGTTAGAAATAGACCCAAAGACAAAGCAATCTTCTTCTATATTCAAATGTATAATTTAATGACAAGGAAATTCTAATTCTTACATATTAGGGATACAGACAAAGGAAAACTCTTACTTGAGCTCTTCTTCATCCAGATATCCACTCTGATCATTGTCTATGAACCGAAAAATGTCCTTGACCTGACTAGCAGACATCTTGGACAGGCCAGAAGTCTCGAAGAATTTTTTATGGTTGAAAGAATCTGGGTCTAGAGGATAGAGGCAACATTACTTCCCAGAGTTTATCAGAGTGTTTCAACAATACTCTAAGCTGACTGTTCTAAGCTACACATTACTATAGAATTTTTTTCATCACATCTTGGTACTGTGGATATGTTCTCATTAGTAAAAAGTCATAGAGAAGTTAAGTGACATTCCTAAAGTCATACTGAGATTCTAGGACAGAACTTGTCAATGACATGTTCTCTTGATTTTTGACCATGCCACTGAAGAATGCTGTCTCCTTTTTATTGGTGTCTAAGACACCAATATAACTAGCCATTGTGATAAAATCCTCAGCTAAGACTTTGGTTGAATACCATGTGGGGGGAGGGGAGATTGAATGTATCACTTTTCATTTGGCAGTTTTGGCTTTGTAAAGAGAACCATATTTTCAGGTCCTCTTTCTATTAGATTATTAATGTAAACATTAGCAAATTTTTGCTTTAATCTTCCAAATATTCAAGCATAATTAAAACTTCTATTCATTGGTGCTGGTAGAGTGGAAGGGCTGGAAGCAGAAATGACTAAGATTTACTGTTTTCTTCTGTAGGATAGAAAACTTTATATTCATACAATTTAAAACAATTTCTTTTTCCTTTTACCTTGGCATTCCTCCAGGGCAGCAGCTATATCAGCAGCACTAAGGACATCAGTGATGCTCATGTTTAACCTGATTGCATAGAAGAAATGATATGTGATGAATTACAATAAGTAAATACTGACACACCCAGTTAAATACATTCTGTGAAGCTCCAATGAAACCAATTATTTGTTCAAAATTTAAAAGTTTTGGAACAAAATGTAAAAATAGGACTCTAGTGGGTTTTGTTAAGGCACCAGTCTTATATACCCATGCTAATCAAGAGTGCTCTTCTTAGCACTTTCTCAGAACTTACACCAAAAGAGAAAGAAAGCGTATTGGATTTTGGAGTCTACTTAAATTTCCCATTACTTAGAATTATATTCCTGCCTAAAGTGAAATGGAAGAATTTGTATTATTTTTCAGCTTTTGAAAATATGTATGGTGTAAACATCCACAAATAGGCTGCATTTAAAAATACAAACACATCCAGAACATTTCCTACTTTTTACATTAAAGACAGTGCTTCTTCAGATGTTCTATATGAAAGCAAAAATAATTTGATCTGCCCCCCCGAATATTGTGACAGAGCTTAAAGAGAAAACAGAAAAGAGTATATTATCTACCTTCAAATATGAAAATCAAATGAATTTTATCCTGATCTCCTAGAGATAAAAAGTCCAAAGAGACCTCAACTCCTGGGGGGGAGGGAGGGGATTGAATATACTAAGGGTTCTACTTAGCACAAATGCAACACAGGAAGGAAGAGTCTGGAATTGAGGGGTTTGGGCCACTGCTCACCTTTCTGGATTTTCCCCAAGCAGAAGCAGGAAAAAGAATCGAAGAAAGCAGAGAACAGATGTGTTTTTGCAGTGTTACCAACCCTACCTTATATAGGGTTCAAAAAGTGACAATAACCACTTCTTGGATTTCCTTCTCAGGGATCAAATGGCCAGAACTCAAATTTCCTCCCTAATTGTCTTTCTTTCTTTCTTTCTTTCTTTCTTTCTTTCTTTCTTTCTTTCTTTCTTTCTTTCTTTCTTTCTTTCTTTCTTTCTTTCTTTCTTCCTTCCTTCCTTCCTTTTTCTTCCTTCCTTCCTTCCTTCCTTCCTTCCTTCCTTCCTTCCTTCCTTCCTTCCTTCCTTCCTTCCTTCCTTCCTTCCTTCCTTTCTTTCTTTCTTTCTTTCTTTCTTTCTTTCTTTCTTTCTTTCTTTCTTTCTTTCTTTCTTCCTATTCTAACCTCAAGGGAGTGTAGTTGGGAACAGCCAATTTTTTTTTTAAACAAAGCCCAGTAAACTTTTAAGATTCAGGTCTGCAAATAGAACACTGAAGGGCCAGAGAGATGAATGTGTGTTGGTGGACAATAACCAACTTGCTAAATGCTGGCTGAAAAAAAAATCACTGGAACATGAAAAGATTAGAAAGGGGAGCCAGTTTTGGAATCCCTGAAACTGCTGGCTAATCCTGTGAAGTTGATACAGGGTCAGAGAGAGGTGAAAGCTTCAAAATACTTGGCACCAGAATGGCAGAGAAGTCATCATTCATGGAGTATAGGAGGAAGCCAAATGTTTAGGGGATTTTTTCTCTAATAACGTTACTCTAAATTTTCCAGTAATTTCTTAAATTACACATATGTAAAGCAGGAGAAAAGTGAACCACCAGCAGGATCTAAAAAGCAACTAGGAATTGTGGGAACATTTAAAAAAATACTTATTTCATTAAATATTTCCCAATTACATGTAAAAAAAAAATCAACATTCATTTTTTAAAAATTTTGAGTTTGTGGGAACATTTTAAGAGATCAATTTGGGAGAGAATTCTACTACCAGATCTTAAATCATTGTATTTATAAGGAAATAAAATGGAACTACATTTAGAAGAAATACAGTTTATGCTGATTTTTAAAAATCTGAATCTGTTAGACATATTTCTTAATATACAGTTAGCTTGAAAAGAGTTTCTAAATTTTTCTTGTTAATTGGAAGAACCTATTCTCACAAGCAAAGCCTTGCTCACATTATATAGTTGTTGCGAAACAAAAGATAAAGAAGTTGTGCTGAAATTAAAAAATAATACCCAGATTTCAGTTAGAGTTTTTGAATTATTTACTGAATGAAACAATGGTAATATGGGCATACACTTGGGGAAGATCTGTCTTCTTGGAAAACTAAGGACATTCTTCTCACTCTAGTAACTAATAAACTAAGAGAACTCACTCCCTCTATTAATCTAATCACATATTCTGACTTCTTAGGGGATTAACAATACTCTCTGTCTTGATTTGATCCTTGATTCAAGGGAGAACATGGAGTCCAAGGATACCAGACTAAGGAAATTGTTACAATACCAGTTCTTTGCTCTTTGTAACACAAAGGGGGCCCTAGGACTCCAAGTATCTAATACTGAACATATTACACATCAGAATTTGTTCAAAGATGTATGCTTAAACATATTAAGCTTGCTACTTTGGGTGTTTAGGCATATAGAAAGTAACCAGTGAATTATTTGTGATATGATAGGACTTGGGTATTCTTTCTCAGATCGCTAGAAAATATTTAAGAAAAGGATTATGGTGTTTTTCCCATTCCCTACTCCCCAACCCAGTATTTACATTTTTATAGTCTAAACAGGGAAAACATGATATCCAGATTTGCTAATTTTTCTCCAGGCATGTATCACATTACTCTTTTTTTTTTTTTTAAGACTATTTCTCCCTATCTCATGCAGGCTGGAAATATAGCAGCCACTCAGTCCATCCCACTGCTGATTGGGCAGAAACTTTAAACTGTTCCATTTTTCCTGTTTGGGCCAGTTTGGCCCTCATTAGGCAGTCTGGTGGCCTTCTACACCTGTGGAGTTCACTGAGTTGGTGCCAGAATTCATGTGGGTATCAAATAGGTTTTAAATCTGCTGCAGCCCAGAACTCCTGAGCTAAGGCAAGCTACCAGCCTTAGCATCCTCAAAAGCAGGGACTACAGACATATGCCATTATGACTGACCACATTTTTTTTCAGCCAAAAACAAGGTTTATTAAAGATCTATCATATTGGCCAGACTCTTAAGGAATCTGAACATTAGTGAACTATTGGCCGGATTGTAAGAATCTGAGCCCTGACCGCATTAAAAAAAACCCAAAAAACAAAAAAACTACAAACCTCAGAAAGAGGTTTAGAACAGTGTATCTAAGTCAATAGCTACTATAAACTTTTCCGGACCTTAAAAAAGAAACACTATGACATTAGTGAGGTTAAATAAACAAGCCAAGGAATTAGTCAGGCTAAAGAGTTTTGAACCATATTCTTAACCTCAAATTAATGGCATATTTATTCTGAGCCCTTTTCATGATTCCTTTTCAAACATTCATTCAGTAAGCATTTATTAAGCACTTTGTGTAATATTTATTGATTTTGGTAACATTATTTTGATGTTTGACCATTATCCACAGAAGTAATAGCAATAAATAGCATTTTTCTAGCACTTTAAGTATTTTAGATTGCTTTTTCTTATTTGATTCTTGCAATAGGAAAAGGCATGACATAATGGTTAGGGCATGGGATATAGTTAGGAAGACTTGAGCTCAAATCCAACTTCAGATGCATACTACCTGTGTGACTCAGTTTCCCCAACTGAAAAATGGAGATGATAATAGACCACCATACCTTGCAGGGTTGTCTTGAGAGTCAAGTGAGATAATATTTGCAAAGCACTAAGCATAGTGTCTGGTATATAATAGGTGTCATATAACTCCTTATTTTCTTCTCTATTCCCTAGAATTAATTTTTAGAAAAGGAATGCATTCCCTAAGCATAGTTATCAAAATGCCTGATTTGGTTCTCTCATATTTTTAATGGTATAGTTTCTAATATCCCTATCATATATCTCTTTTGAACTTATTTTTCACCAAACATTTATTAAATGCCAACTGTGTATGAGGAAAAATTGTAAAGCGAACAAAGTATGACTTTGATTTACTGCCTTCCTTTTGGCATATTCCTTCTTGCTTTTGATGACCCTGCCAAGTACTCATTATCTTCATGCTACTCCTAACTGGTCAGGGGCCTCTAACATATCCTAAGTCTTTTCCCCAGTAGTACGTCTATGCTTACATTCCATCAGTATTAATCGATCTTTTACCTCACTCATTCAGAGGCGTACCTGAGAAAGCTTTCTGAAAAAAAAACAATGTATGCTAACATAATGAATTGGTATATTGCCCCTTTCAGATAACATGTTTATAGCTTTGAGGAAACACTGCCTTTCTGCTTTTAACCAAATTCTTAATTCTTGCCCCTCCTTTGAACCAGCAGGATTTTGTGTTGCCATTTTTAAGCTCTAGGAAAGAATATATGGTAGGTTAAATGTGGTCTCAAAGAAGAAGTATGAGAAGGCACTTCCCCACATCACCCCTTCTTTTCAGAGATGGAAGACTATAGCTCTGGAACACTGATATAAAGTCAGCTTTTTTTGATGTGTTGGTTAGTTTTATTGTGTTCTCTCTCTCTCTCTCTCTTCATATATATCTATATCTATATCTATCATCTATCTATCTATCTATATATCAGTTACAGGTTGGCTTTCTAGGAGAAGGTAAAAAAGGAATATACTAGAAATTATAGGTTATATGAAAGCAAAATGTACCAATAAAACTTTATTTTTATGATTCTATTTTGGGTAGGAATAATATAAGTATAATGTACAAATATATTCATTGAGAGAACATGGACGATAGTCCTACAGGATGGGCAGGAATGGATGGGATTGTGCCTTTATGAACTTGGGTCACATTTTCCCACATCATGAAAAGAAAGTAGACACTCTCAAGAAACCCATAAGAAGAGACATACGTGTAGGGGACACATGTGGCCAGGGAGCATTCATGAAGAGGAACCCAATAGATAATCTATGTGGCTTCATATAAGATATGTATAATATGTAAAAGACACACATGTAGGGCTAAGGCAGTACAAATCTCCAAAGCTGCAGGATTGCTGTTTTTCTCTCCTTGCTGTTCTCTCCACTTTAGGCTTGAGCATATCATATGTTTTACGTATCTCTCCACTGGAGTTATGGATACTTTGGGCATGTGGTCTCTGGTGGGCTCATGATTCTGTAATGCTCTCCCCACTTTTGCATCCCTGCCATGACCACCATAACTCTCCAAGAAAAGGACCAGCTCTTTCTTCTTTCCGCTTAGCTACGGCTACAACCTCTAGGCTTTCTTGCCCCACTGGTAGCTCCCAGTCTTTCAGAAACCTCTTAGCTCTTAGCTACATGCATGGTATGACACAAAATAGCAGACTGGGCATTGTTCTCTGGACAAAGCCTGCAAAAGCAGTCCACGGGGCAAGGCTGAGCTCACGTGCCTTTGCAAAGAATCTCTTGCTTTTCAACCTCCGACATTGTTTCAAACCCAAGTGGTCCCAGTAATACCCATTATATCTCAAACTAGAAGAAGCTACTCGAACTTCAACAAAACCACTCCTGTTCTCCCTTCAAAGACACAGTTAAAGCCTTACCTATTTGCTTAGTTAAAAAAGACCTCAACTCAATGATAAAAAGAAAGGTTCCATATACACCAAAATGTTGGTGGCAGCATTTTCTATGGTAGCCAAGATTTGGAAACAAAGTAGATACCCCTCCACTGGAGAATGGCTTAAACAAATTATGGTGCATGAATGTCATGGAATACTACTGAGCTATAAGAAATGATGAATGTGATAAATACAGAGAAGTATGGAAAGACTTACTAAACTGATACAAAGTGGAATGAGCATAATCAAGAAAACAATGTACAATAATATAAATGGAAAGAACAACAATCATAAAACAATTGAAATGAATGTTACAAAATTTCAAGGAGCAAACTTGGCCCCCAAAACAAAGACGTATGAGAAAAGATCTTTCCCTTCTCTGTTGCAGAGGTAATGGAAGTATACATGGATGTGGAACATTGCATATAAT